TGCTTCGATTCTTTCTAAATGTTGCACTTATACAGATTTTTTTCTCAAATATCTTGGGTCACTTAAGTTCGAATATTCCAGTTTTTGAATTTCAAAAAGATTGGCCCGTTTAACAAGTCTTACAGTTATTATTATTCAATATTACATTTATCTGTATTATCAACTCAATCCTTTTCCAGTTTTATCAACGTTGAAAACTTACAAATACATTTTTTTTCTTTTATACATACATCAAAGTATATTGACTTCGTATGTTATTTATCAATACATTTAAAAAATATTTAACCATTATTATTACTCGCAATTTTTCTGATTACAACATTAAGTTTTTTAAAGATCAGCTAAACTAGTAAATTATGAGTACAAGTTACTCTTACAAAACACTGAATATGAAATTTGGGTGCGATTTGTGTTACGTAATTGTTTCTTAGTGTATTTGTTATTAAAGTCAATAAATTTATTTCATTGAAATTTGTTTTGTCAGGATCATTAAGTTTTTTTTATTCCTAAATATGCTTTATTACTATCTCTGTGAGTGTTGTCAAAAATATATTTTAACTTTGTATCAAAGCACAATAATTCAACAATAATACAAGACCTATTTTTTATTAACCAATATTTGTTAAAATTTAAACAACCATTAACTACTAAGAGGTACTTTATTTTTACTCTCGGTAATGAAACTGTAATTTTGATAAGGTTTTAATAGCATTACCACCCGAGTCTTTGAAATCGAATATCGACCATCATTTGGGCCTTGAAGTATCTNTGCTATTCGCAACTCACTGAGCTGCGAGTGTCGCGCGCCTCTGTCCAGGTCATACTAACGCGAACATTCCCGCCCACCTTGACGGAATGCCGTCAAAATTAAAAAAAAAATAACTCAGTTGGTTATCCTATTAAATTTTTTTTTCATTCTCAGTAATTAACAACATTTTTTCCTTTACAGTTATTAAATAAAAAGGCCCTTATCAAGTACAAAATCTACGAACGTAAAAATTGATGCAAATAAAATTTTATAAGCAGAAACAATTTTTAAATTTTTACTGAAACTTACAATCGTGTACACGTCACTCGACAGTGACTACACGCAAGATGGTAAAGCGACAAATACAACAATTTGAAACTTTTTGCACAGGTCTTATATAGACGCTGCTTATACATGTGTATATTATATATGTGTGCCCGTAAAATAATGAAGGCTAATAACCTTAGTGATTAGAAAACATAACGACTACTACATTGTGGATATATCTATGTACCTTTAGTGGTCATTTGTAATTCCACTTGGAATGACACTTGGAGTTTCCAATCCAAAATCCCATGTGGAATTCCAAGTAGAATTCTAAGTGACTTTAAAAGTGTAAATACAGATGGAATTACATATGTGATTACAAAATATCAATTAAATCTCAGAAGTACAAAGGAGAGTAAGGACAAAGTAAAGACTACTGATGGCTTGTTTATTAAGTTTTAAACAGCGATAAAC